TTTCAGCTGTCATATGGATGGATCACCCAAGGGGCTAAAAGGTTTATTGAGCTACCATTATATTTATGTTCATTTACCTTGAGTTTTCCTAATACTTCCAAACACAAAGACTAATGAGTGCCCATTACTATTTAGTGATAGGCTTTGAAATAAACAGACCTCTCCTAGGACTGAGCTTGACATCACTGATTCCTTTCCCAGACTCTCATTCCCTAAATGTTCCACATTAGAGCTAAGCCTAATTATCCCCTGAGCAAACCACAGAGCCACATGCATTAACAGAAGAGTAATGAAAGACAAAGATAACTTATCTCAGAGAGATATAAAACTCAGTTAACTACAATTATTTTTACCTATACTAAAATCCAAATAGATGATCTAATAAATGGTGATTGCGTGAATTGGAAAACTTATTTATTTATTTATTAGAGACAGGATCTCCCTATATCACCAAGGCTGGAGTGCAGTGGCTATTCACGGGAGCAATCATAGCTCACTGCAGCCTCAAATTCCTGGGCTCAAGAGTCCTCCCACCTCAGCCTCGGGAATAACTGGGACTGCAGGTGTGCACCTCTGTGTTAGGCTGGAAACACTAGTTTTAAAGTAGATCTAGAAACAGTTAAAGGCACCAGAAAGGTGGAGAGAACTTAGTCCAACGTTTACCTTACATACAGATTGTCTTTCTTGGCCAGTGTTGCCGCCAACGGCCTGCTGATATTGGGATTACTCTGGTACCTCTACACTAATTATCAACCTGTGTCTTCTCCCCAGCTTTTTACAATAAGGATTTACATTTCACCTCTATAATTCTGCATTTTTTTCCTTATTAAATATCCTGATGGCTGTCATTTACTTAACCTTTAAAACAATATGACCTGCGCTTTTTTCTCCTTATCTATGCCAAGCCATGACATTATAGTTTAATAATAACAGTAACAGTAGTTACTGCACATGTGGCACTAACTCTGGGTCTGACACCATGCAAGACACTTTTTAGGAGTCATTTACTCCTCACGGCAATTGTAAGGGGCTGTCATTATTACCTCCATTTTACAGACAAGGAAACTATGGGCCAGAGAGTTTACGGCCTGAAACAGAGGAGCAGAAGGAGCAAGAATACGAGTTTTGATGTTCCACAGACCTGAACTGAAGTCGTGCCCTGCCCCTCGCCTTTGTCCTCCCCTAGAGATGACGCTGTTTCATGCAGTGGGGATGAGATGACATTCAGTGTGTCTGAGTGCCTGGCCTCCAGAAGTGCTTGTTTCTGCCTCCTTCCAATGGTTACTCATCTAGAAATTCATGTCTTACCTTAGGTAGCCTCTTTAGATAGTTTTCAAAGTAGCTACTCCCAGGGAAATAATGTGGTTACTATATAGAATTCTAAAAATAATGAAAAGGTAGATAATCATTGACAACTCTGGAGAGCTTTACAGTTTTGAATACCCTTTCATTCCTTCCCAATCATTGGCTTATTTGATCCTTCAGAAAATAATTTAATATCTCAGTCGATTTCTTTAGATTGGGTATCTCCAGAATATAACAACATTGTCTGTGGGCCTTGAAAAATGCTAACCCAAGAAATTGTGCAAAGGAAGGGTCTAAGCCTTTGCCTCCCTCCCTCCCAGTTGTCCACAGGCCATCTGCCTCTTTCCTGCTCCTAGGTATCTGTGTGTGTGTGTGTGTGTAGGGGGTGGAGGTGAGAGGGTGGCCAGGGTTGGAGGTGAGGCAAGGGTGGAGGGAGGGATGTGACTACTAGCTGTTTCTTTGGTTTCCACAGTAAGGATGCCTAGCACAGAAGGAATGTGCTACCTTCCTTTATAAAAGAAAATTTCATTTTTTCCTCAAGCTTATGATAAAATCATCCTACACTCTCTCATTTAAACCTAAACTATGTACTCTTCCTGGAGTGGTCAGAAATGAAAGGCTTTATTCATCTACAGAGAGTGGCAAAAAAGCCTGGAAAAGATGTATCCCACCCCTCCATCCCCACTCCTGCCCCACCCCAGTGCACCACCTGGCACACAGTAGGGGCTCAACAAATATTTGAAATTACTGCAGTGGTGCTGTGTGAATTAGCTGTCCTCGGTTGACAATGCAGAAAACAATGTAATGATTCCCAGAAGTCCCTAAAAAGCGCAGCCCAGCCTCACTCCTGGGCTAGCTTCCGAGGTCAGCAAGACTCACTTCTCACATATTTGACTAGGTCAGAGGTCACACGTGTGGACAGATTTTGTTTTGGTCCATAAGGTTTTAAAACATTTTGAAAAAAAATATTTCGAATTAACATTTAAAGCTTGAGAGATTTCACATGCACTACGGCTGGTTTGCTGTAAATAGTACCAGTACTCTCTGGGCCTTTCAGGAACTTGTGTTGGTGCCTGGATTATAACTTGTGTTGGTGCATGACTGTGTTACGCTAAGATAAAAATTCAGAAAAGTCCTGTTTCAGTTAGCCGTTTCAGTTGTTAATTTAATCCTATATAAAACACACACACACACACACACACACACACACACATACGTACAAGTACCCAATAAAAAAAAGAAGGTTCAAAATGTGCAAATACAAAGACCAAACCCTCCAGCCCTCCAATTGCTCATCACTTTTAACTATGCAGAGTCCCCACAATCAATTTGTAAAATCCCTGTCCTTGGCTGGGCACGGTGGCTCACGCCTGTAATCCTAGCACTCTGGGAGGCCGAGGCCGGTGGATCGCTCAAGGTCAGGAGTTCGAGACCAGCCCGAGCAAGAGCAAGACCCCGTCTCTACTAAAAAAGAGAAAGAAATGATCTGGACAACTAAAAAAAAAAAAAAAAATATATATATATATATATAATAATTAGGTGGGCATGGTGGCGCATGCCTATAGTACCAGCTACTCAGGAGGCTGAGGCAGAACAATCGCTTGAGCCCAGGAGTTTGAGGTTGCTGTGAGCTAGGCTGACGCCACGGCACTCTAGCCCGGGCAACAGAGCAAGACTCTGTTTCAAAAAAAAAAAAATATCCCTATCCTCAAACCCTCCACTGCCCAGCCTCTTGCAGACCGAAAGCATGAAAAGGAGAGACCACCCTTCCCTTTCCTACTAATGCTCAACAAAGCCCCCCATTAGAACAGAGAAGGAATTTTTTTTTTTTTTTTTTTTTGAGACAGGGTCTCATTCTGTCTCACCCGGGCTAGAGTGCCGTGGCATCATCATAGCTCACTGCACCCTCAAACTCCTGGGCTTGAGCGCAATCTTCCTGCTTCAGCCTCCCTAGTAGCTGGGACTACAGCCAGGTGACACCACAACTGGCTAATTTTTCTATTTTTTGAAGAGACGGGGTCTTGCTCTTGCTCAGGCTGGTCTCAAAATACTGACCTCCAGCAATCCTCCCGCCTCGGCCTCCCAGAGTGCTAGGATTACAGGCGTGAGCCACCCTGCCCAGCCTGAGAAGGAATTATTGATGTCAGCAATGAGGTAAGAATTAAAACCCCACTGATATAAAAAGCTACTGGTACAGCAGCTTGTCATTTAGCAGACACCATTTAGGATTTTACAGAAATTAATCAAATGAAATAGGAATAAAATACAAGTGATTTTCCTGCATTATTTTAAAAATATATTACAATACTATGAGTCTCCTCACTTTAAAAATCATCCCCACAAAAGGCAGCTGGACCCTGACTATTGTCGCTTCCCAAACTGATGCCACCTTCTTCCTGGACCCTCCTGCTGGTCCAGTGTGGCCCCCTGAAACCCCACCTACCCTTTCTGGTACTGTTCAAGTGACACTTCCAGCCCCTGCATGGCCCCTCCATGCTCCTTTCCTACTTAGCTCCTTACTTCTCCCCCAGCCCACCACGAATACACCGCGAAGACATTTCAGTAATGCGCATTATATAAGAATAGAAGCAGACATTTATTGGGCACCTACTTGCGCCCGGCAGAAATCTGCCTATTCGAGAGCGGTCAGCCCACGCGGTAACCACCACGATCACATGGGGCCGGCGGCTTGGCGGCTAAGGATGAATGTTCGGCAGCCAGACTTCCGGGGGGGCCTCAGCAAGGCTTGCCGGCCACAGCTGGGGCAGCCCGATGCTGTCTAGAAGGCTCCTTCCGACTCTAAGGGTCTCTGCCTGCCGCTGCCACTTTCTTTCAGCTTTACGAGGGTGTAATTGGCGATAGAACTGCGGCCACTTTTAAGAATGCAAACTTTCTAGGCGCCCATGCTGCTACATGGGAAGGGAACTTTTCTCTTTGGCATGCCCTCATATTTTCCATTAAACGAGGGCAGCCCAGATCAATTCCGGATAAAACGACGACCCCTCAAAACAGTCCCCTCTTCTTCCTCCACCAAACCGAGGGCTGCCCCCGCCCCCGCCCCATTACTGAACTCGCGGTGCCACCCGACAGTAACAGGGAGCCGAATCGAGCTAGAGGGCTATATCCTGCCGGCGTAGAAACGCAGTTTCCTCCAGTTAGACTAGATAATTGCTGTTTCCTTTACGAAAGTCCATCACTCAAGTCCACTCCAAGGAGGTTCCATAGACAAAACCCCAGCGACTGTCGCTGCCGCGCGCCCAGGGACCAGGCCTGGCAGAACCGGAGGCAGCTCTGCCCACCGCCCACTCCGCCTGCTCGCGCGGGGATCCCACGGCAGAACAGGCGGGTCTGGAAGCGTTCCTGGGGAAGGAAGGGACTTCCCTATCTCTGGTCCTGGCTCTTGATCGAGGCCCGCTTTGCAAGCTCGAAGAGGTCTCTCCCGGGCGTGACAACGCCAACCAGTGCAGGTCCCAAAGAGGCGCGGGGCGGAGAGGGACTGCCTGGCGAGGGCTGCCCCGGGAATCCCGGACCAAGCCTTGCCCTCCTTTCCCTCCTCTTCCTCCTCCTCCTCCTCCCGACACTCATTCCGCGCCACGGCGGCTCGCCTCCTCTCGGGGAGGGTGGGACCCTGGTACCCGGGGAGGTGGCGCAGAGCGGCTGGAGGGGAGAGGGAAGGCAGGCTACCCGAAGCCTACCGTCTTCTGCTTCTTGACCCCCGACATGCTGGCCGGCTGCGGCAGAGCCCAGGTCCCCGGAGCGGAGAGGGAAGGACGCGCGCGTTGCGGTGGCGGCTGCCGAACTCCCGGGGGCGAGGTATAAAAAGGCTCTGCAGACACGTCGCACTTCCCTGGACCAGCCCCCTTCTCCTACTCCTCCTCCCGCCGCGCTCCTCTCCGCCCCGTCCGCCCCGTCAGCAGCGCCCAGTCCCGGGGACCCGGCCGCCGCCTGGGCGGGGTCCCCGGCCCGGCCCCCTGACTCGCGCGCGGGCCCGCGCTCCGCCAGCCCAGGCTCCAGGCAGGACCTTGCAGGCCGGGCGGCAGACTGGCACGGCCGGCGCGCAGCCGGGGTCAAGTTCGCCCTCGCCTTCCCCACGCTCAGAGGGTCCCAGAGCATCCTCTACCTGCCACCCCACCCCTGCACCCCTTCGAGGCAGTCTTTCTGCCGCTGAGACCCAAGAGCTTATTAGGTGACGGGCAAGGATCCCTGAAACCGCCAGGCTCGTTGGCATGGTCCTCAGAAGGCACCGATGAGCAGCTTGTCCTCATACACAGTAATAAAAACGACGTTTGGCATTCGCTGATCCTTACACTGCACTCTGCTGAGCTTTGCCTTAATCCTCACCTGCTCTTCCCCACCTCCATCCTGCCCCGGTCCCAAGCAGCAAGTCCTATTTTCTCCCCATTTTACAGATGAGACAATTGAGGCTTTCAGACTTTCCCAAGATTATATTCCAAGTGAGGGGATCCAAACCTAGGCTGTCAGCCTCCACGGTGCAGGGTTTCTACACCAGCAGCATCACCCACGGTGATAAATTCGTGAGGCTCATGACTTGCTTGCTCACTCTGCAGCACGCTAAGGGGCGTACACGCATTCACTCCTTTCCAGCTCACAGTAATATCCTCCTGTGACAGATGAGCCAGCTGAGGCACTGCCCCTCCTCACAGTCAGGTAAGCGAGGCCAGCCCCAGGTCATGGCCCCAGAAGATCAGCGACTCCCTTCAGTCCATCCCCAAAAGTATTCCTATAGCAGCACTTCTGTGTGTTCCACAACTGGGATGGGCGCTGTGCAGAGGGAGTAAAAGGGGGCACAAGTTGAGGAGGCTTAGGGCCTAGATCTTGGGGTGTAAGGATTTTCTTTTTGTTTTTTTTTAATTATTCATTTAAGTATGTATTTATTCATTTATTTAGAGACAGTGTCTCTCTCTGTCATTGCAGCCTCAAACACCTGGGCTCAAGCAATCCTCTGGCCTCAGCGTCCAGAGTAGCTGAGACTACAGGCACATGCCACCAGGCCAGGCCAATCTTTTTCAGTTTTTAAGAGACAGGGTCTGGAACTCTTGGCCAGGGTTTTATCAAAGGTCAGTATGAGACCAGGGGGTGCAGTAGTTCACATTTGTAATCCTAGCACTGTGGGAGGCCAAGGCAGTAGGATCCCTTGAGCCCAGGAGTTGGAGGTTGCAGTGAGCTATGATGATGCCACTACATTCTAGCAGGGCAACAAGAGGGAGACTCTATCTCAAAAAGAAAGAAAGAAAAAAAAAAGTCACAGTATGAGGCTACTCTCTGAAAGAACCCAAACATCAAGGACAAGCAGAGGTAAGGAGAGAAGCTATAATTACAAGAACCCTGGGGGTAGTCACTGTGTCTCACACCCCTTGTGCCTTAACTGACTCCTAGCATAATGCCACAAACAGATGGATATGACAATACCCTTAAAAGAACCAAGAAGACACACAAGGGCCACACTTCTCATTTCTGTGGAAGGGCTGGAGGAGCTATATTGTAAGGAGGTGAGGGATGGAGATTTCATACCTAATTGTATTTCTGGAAGACTGCCCGCTCTCCAGACACCTGATCTGAGTATTCATTCATTGATTGCTCTTCTTCATGGGAAGGTGGGAAAGAAAAATAAATTAGGAGTCAAAACTTAAAAGACACCCTGCAAGTTTGTACAGTCTGACATGTCAGTCTATTTATTTTCTTACTCATTTTGAGTAAACTGCCAGCACTCCCTTTAAATGTAATCAGCTAGGGGGCAAATACTGGGTTTGACTTTCTGTTCTGCACATTTTGAACTTATGTGAAATTTAAACACCAACATCCTGTTCTAATTTCATTGGAAAAATCCTTTTATATTAGTTCCAACCATATCTTGGACCCTACCAGATCCTGCCCTAAGAGAAAGTAAATTAAGTGTGGATTGAGAAATAGCAAATTTGCATGATTGTGTTTTTTTCATATTGCATCTTAAGGAAAAAAAAAAAAACCTGTGTTCTGGGGACAGAAGGAAGTTGAGGGCAAATCTCTAAGGGCTACTTCCTGGAAAAGAAATATATGATCATTTAGACCTGGAAGAGGTTTTGAGATCATTTTCCAGTTTCCCTATTTCTGTGTTTTACACATGAGCAATGCAAAACTGGTGCTCAGGGAAGGGAGGTAATCTGACCACAGTCACTAGTTATAGGCAGAGTTGAGACTCAAACCCAGATCAGTCAACTCCTCAAATGCTCTGTCCCCAAATACTCTGTCCACTGAGTCACTCAGCCTTGAGGTCAGCTGTTTCAAGACCCCATGATAACTATAAACTGTACTGCTTCTCTTGATTTAAATTTAATTAATTCTCAAACAGTACTTTGGAACAGATATTCTTTTACTATTCCAAGGACTTTTAAAAATGGAGGGCTCGGTTTCCTTGAACTCAAGCTGGTGTTTTATGACCCTTTAACATCATAGATCATCAGTTTAATCATAACTAAGCATGACAATTTACAGAAAAGTAAAACTTTTTTTTTATTTTCTCAAGGTCTTTCATTTTAAAGGCAATGTCTTGAATTCTTTTTTCATCTCACCATCCTCTTCCTCTTATGATGAGAGGACATTCCTTCTGAAAAGAGATGAACGACCAGAAGGTTCATTTTTGGAGTCTATGATACCGACACATGGGACCTGGGAGGAGACTCATTCAGAGGAAGGGAGAAGCGTTGAGATCTGTCTGTTCGTATGGACGCTCTCCATGACTTCCTCAGCAGTGCCCCCCAAGACTCCCCTGTAAAAGCCCACATTGATAAGTCTTGATACTACTCACAATATTTACATAAGGGTTGTTCCCCCACACCCCATTTTCTTATTCCTTTCTTCTTTCGGAAACTGTCTGGGCTTGAGTAACTTAATAAGATGGTGATTACTAGTTGATCCTTTTATTGTTTAGAAAAGATAGAATCAGTCAATTCCGACAAATAAACTGGGGAAGCATATATAAAGAATGCCAGTGGTTCATCTGGTGATGTTTCCTTGAAAAAACAAACAAACGAAAAGCCCCAACCAACCAAACAAACAAAAATGCCAGTGTTGGTGAGATGTTTATGCCACAGGTTCTCCAACTCATTTGGGTGGAGTGGGGCTCATCACATATGAGGGGATCTAGCTTGGAAGCACCGCCCCTGGATGGTCATTACAAAGGAATGCGATTACATTGCCCCCTAGTGGCTGTAATGCATAAATGCTAAAAGAGACTTGAAATCCTCTATACAACAATTAAGTGCAGCGCTCCACTGAGTAAAGAAGCACTTAGTATTAAATAATAAGTCTTCCAGGATCCAAACACTCTTCCCAGGCACAGGCACTACCAAAATGAGCAAGACGTGGCCCCTGTCTTCAAGAAACTCACAATCTATCGAAGGAAACAGATTCCTCCCACTCCCCATCACTTCAGTACAATAGATGATTGGAACAGGTGAAAATGATACATGCATGCCTTAGACATTTTATTTGGACTTAAACACATACATTCACTAATCTTTTACAATGGGACTAAGGACTGTTATTGTGATACAGGTCTACTGATAGGAGTTCCATAAACCACTTTCATTAGGCATCTTCAACTATTTCCAATTTGGAATTTTATAGTTAGAAATTAAGGGCACTGAAGAAAATCTGAGAGGAGATTCCTTCAAGATTCCTCCACACCCCTCCCCCATCTTTGTCTGTAGTCTTGCCAACAGTGCAATGTCTAGCAGTTTGTCTTTCCAAAGCATCCATCTGTTTTCATAGAAAGCATAGCTCTTTTCATTAATGTGCTATTCACTTAGGTCACATCTAATTAAATTACTTAATTACACTAACAAGCACAACTGGCATAAGTAGGTTTGCGAACAAATACAATAGATCTCAGCAAGCACCCAGCTTAGGTACGGAAGTGTGTGGACATTTCGGTGCATCCCTACTGTTGAAGACCATTCAGTTTGCTGTGGGCATGAGTCATTATCTTTTCTAGAAGAAATGGAGAGTGTGGATTAAATTGACCAGTAAGTTAAGAGAAAGAATATTGTAGAGCACAAAGGAGGGATATCTAATTCAACTTTGGAAGAAGGAAGAGTACAGAATGATGCCAGATTTTCTTGGAAGAAGATGATACATGAACTGAGACTTTAAAAAAATGCTAGGGTTTTGCTAGCACATCCTCCCCAAAGTGGGTGTGTGTAAATTTGAAAATGTAAAAGCAGAGAGATGCATGAAATAACATGGTATGTTCAGAAAATTATAAGTGTCTGTATTGCTGATTCCAGGAGATGTAATAAAAGAGTGGGGAAGGTTGTAATAGAGGACATGCCATGGACAATCAGACAGCAACATGACTTTGCATGTTCTCTCCATGCCCATCAGAGTGTGGTAGCCATGTGGCTGGTGTTCCATTTGCTCATTAGTAATCACGGGACACTTCCTGTGTCCAAGGATGAGAAGTCACCGTCCTGAGGTGCCCATGGTCTGGTGAGGAAGATGGAGATATACTCAGATAATTCCAAGGAAATGTGATAAATGCTGGAATAAAGGGATTTTTGGAGTAACAGGGAAAGTGCAAAAAAACCAGAGGTGTTAACTGCTGAACTATGAAGAGGTCCTATGGGTGGTGATATTTAACCTGAGTTTTCAAGAATAAAAGGAAGCTAATAGGAGGGTGACCTGTCTGTCACCCCACCAGTGGCCAAGGTTACCTGAGCTAATGTCTGGCTGCATGAAGTATTCACTTCTTACCTTGACATTTGCTTCCTTCCCAAAGTGCCCTAGCTTATCATTAAAAACCCAGGTACAATACACAGAGAAAAACTGACAGTCAGACATGGCCCTGGCAACATTGACCCCATCACCA